GGATGGAATAATAATTCAACTGCTCTGTTGATTTTTCCCTGATGTAAACCTACAGTCACTGTGAAGTGTGTACCCACTTTTCTCATTTCATGTTTGTTTACAGTAGCTTTAACTCCCTCATGCTTGTCTAACGATGTCTATATATTGTCTTGGGAACCCTTGTTTCATGGAATCTGCCAAATTAAAGCTCTAGGTACTCTATGGTAAAGCCTTTGCTAAATCAATTAAGACCACATAAAGATTTTTTCATCTTCTTTCGATAATTCTTTATCTATTTTCCAAGTGAAGAGTTAGCTTCTATAGCTCCTGTAAGAATTTTTCTTCTTCTTTTTTACTAATGATACACTTGTTTTTACCTTTTCTTTTGCTTTGAAGCTTGGATTGTTGCGTTCCAGGATTTCCATAATGCAATTGGTGTGATTTTTCACTGCATATCTTTGTATTGCCATAGAACATTTGTTGCAATTCTATTTTCTGTTGGTATTCACTTTGATGCATGTTACTGTTTCTCTCTGACCAAATATCACTTTTCTTGTTTAGTGGAATCCATTTCATGTTCTTGATTTCAGTAGTTTCTTTGGCTTTGAATATTTCTTGTATTATAAATGACCTTGCATAACTTTTTAGTTTTCTTCTGTTTCATTTATCTCACAGAATCCACTTAAATGTGGTGGAGGTACACGCCGAGGAAAAAGTTCTTTTGTTGAGCACCGGACATTTCTTCATCTATATCACAGCTTTCATCGATTGTGGATATTTCTTGTTATGATGTTCCAGGTTTGCAAGTCTAACATTTTGCATTGTCTCTATATGTTCTGTGCTAAGTCTCTCTCTCTCTCTCTCCATGTACATGTATACACATATATTCTTCCTTTCTCCTTTTTGTCTTTTAGGGACTCACAATTCTGGCATTTAACAATGGACAATTCAACTCCAAGACTCTGCGGCAAGTTCTTAGTCTTGGGCCAACTTATGTACTGATGAAGTTTATTGAAAGTAGGTTTCTTTCTATACAAGAATATATTAGGCATTTCTTTGGTTTATTTAGCATGTTTTTGCACCAACAGGTGAAAAATATACTCAAAATGCTGGAATCTTATTTCTTTGTGCAGGTTCTTTGGATGTGCTTATGATGTATGGCGCGTATTCAACAACAAGACGCCTAGCTTTGTCAAGAATTTTTCTTCGTTTCATTTGGTTCACTATTGTTTCAGTTGTTGTATGTTTCATTTATGTGTATGTTCTCTTGCACTTGCCGGTTTTTGTCTTAATGTGCCCTCCCTTTATAGTTTCTACTTGTACTTGTTAGTTTATAAAAGTAATACATGGTTGTCTTTCTCCAATGCAGGAAATCTCTCAAAAGTTCGGCTATTGTCAGATTATATGTGATTGTTGTAGGCATCTATGGTGGTCTCCAATTTTTTGTTAGTTTCCTAATGCGGATACCAGCATGCCACCGCCTGACTAATCAATGTGATCGTTGGTCTTTGATGCGCTTTATCAATTGGATGCGCCAGGTCTTTTATTTTTCACATGATTCTATTTGTTATTATTATTCTTTTATGTTTGCACTTCATATTTATGTGTTCAATTTTTTTAGTAGTTTATTAGGTTATAATATTGCACCATATGATTTTTGTAGGAACGGTACTACGTTGGACGTGGCATGTATGAGAGGACCACTGACTTCATGAAGTACTCTCTGATCCTTGTTTCTACCATCTGATCCTTATCTCCTTATGTTTCCTTGATGTACAATTTGTTACATAGAGTCTATTTTCGGCCCTTGAATCCATTTTTCTTCCCATGTTCTTTCTGTTTTTTGCCTTTTGTTCCATTTGTGTAAAGACTAAGAAGAAAAATAGAAAGAATCGACTAGAAAGTAAGTTTGATGGTATTGTGTGATGGTTTTTAAATGTTGATATTTTGCTTCTGAGAAAGCTGGTAACCTTTTTCAGAGAAACATACAGCTAATTGCTTTATTGGACTCAAAAGCTCACTGCTTTGTAGCCTGTAGAATTCATAGAATTTCTTTTATAGAGAACTGGAAAGTAATCTGAAAGTATTGGGATTCTAGGGTTGCTGCCCATTGCCCTTGTGCCAACACACATAAGCTATAGTTTTCTTAAATTGTTTTCTCTTTAAAAGATCAGACCAGGGACCTGTTGTGCTCAAATAGCGATAATTTGATTCATCAGATGTTCAGAATGATATTTTGTAATATGTTCTTTCGTTGCAGATATATGCTTTTTTGGCTTGTTGTCTTGGGCGTAAAATTTGTGTTTGCATATTTTCTCCAGGTTAGGAAGCATTTGTTTTACTTTTTGGAAATAGTGTTTCTCTTTTGTGATTTTGTTTTCTTAATGCATTTCTTGTTTTTGACAGATCAAGCCGTTAGCTGAGCCAACAAAGATAATAGTTGCTATGAACAGTCTAACATATTCTTGGCATGATTTCGTATCAAAACGTATGCTATCTACCTTCTACCATTTATGTCAAATCTTGAGGATAGAGTAGACTGCTTTTTCCTTGATTTTCTATGCCTTCTGACTCCTTTTACTTTTGTACTGATATTTGTTACTGACTTGAAATTAAGTGTTTTCTGGCTGCAAATTGGCTAAAACTGAGATAATCAATAATGTGTTGCTTGATTATTTAAAAGTCTGTCTGATACTTTTGCAATGTTGTCCTGCTTGGGGTTCTTTCCCTCCCCCTTTTCCAGGGTCTCCTCAGTTCTCTCTGGAAAGTTACATCCTCCATTGGTTTACAGTTGAAATAATTGTTTAATTTAATCTGTCATGGCTGGCTGAATCTGTTTCTACTTGCAGATAACCATAATGCTTTGACAGTTGCTAGTTTATGGGCTCCAGTGGTTGCTGTAAGTTGACTTCCTGTTACTTTCAGTAAGATGTTAGATACTGATATTGTTGGTTTTCATGACGCATGAGTAGTTTTATTGTTTTACTTTACAATGAAATTGAAGTTTGCCCTGTGACATTTTTTAGAATCTATAGACTTTTTCTTGTATTTTGTCCCTGCTGTGACATGGTGGAGGTGCACTTGTGCTGCTACATTGTTGTCCCTTTGCTATTTTCGAAACAAACTTCAATTTGAAGGAAAATCTTTTCTATTAATGAAATGGTGGGCTTCATTCAGTGCTATTCCCTCAGCTGGCTACTCTTGATGGTTCATATACTTTTGATCTCACTTTTAGGTTTTGAACCCATGTGGTTGGTGATTTGGTTTTGCATGTGTGATATATGTATTTTGATCTTTAATATTATTTGAGGGACGTAGTTTTGTACTTGGATTTTGTGGAGTACAAGTTGTACCCTCCATGTTTAAATAAAATGTTTCATTTGCCCATAAAAGTAAAATAAATAAATAAATAAGAAACTTAAGAGGGGATCACTTGATTTCTATAGTTGTGATGGAATCCAAAAGAAAAGTAACTTTGATTAAGAAGTTGGCCCTTTTTTAATGTTTAGTCTTTGTTCTCATTTGGTTGAGTTTCTAGTGAATATCTTGTTAGATTATGTTTGATATTTCATTTTCCTTATGTGAGTAGTTCCTTTTTTTTAATATTAATATTATTTTGTTCCTTTTATTCTTTCTTTTGAAACAGATGTATCTGCTAGATATTTACTTGTTTTACACCATTATATCTGCCATTTGGGGATTCTTGCTTGGGGCAAGAGATCGTCTTGGAGAGGTGAGTTTTGTAATTTTTTTGTTTTTGGTCTGGACCAGACTTTTCATGTAACAACAAATCTGTAACCTCTAATTTTGTGCAAATTTGTAACTCTTAAATTTCCTGTCCCTTAGATATTATTTTCATTCTCTGAGTTGTTTATGCTCTAAACCTTAACTTTCACATTTCCAGATTAGATCTTTGGGAGCTGTTCACAAGCTTTTTGAAGAATTTCCTGGAGCTTTTATGAACACTCTTCATATTCCTCTCCCTGATAGGTCTGGCACAAAACTTAGAAACATCAATGTGATTATTTTCATCCTTTTAATTTTTTCTTTCTGATTCATCTGAAGAAATCTTTTATTTCACAGGACTTCACAGAGTTCTTCCAGCCCGGTGAGAAATTTTATGCATTTGTGTTTTTTTGTTGTTGTGTAGAAATACTGGCTTGTCAAAAGTTCTCCTAAGGTACATGAATATTTGTGGTGACTTGTATAATGTTGTATAATTTACACATTACAAGATGACCTTCAAAAAGAAGGCAATAATAAGGGACAACTGTCTAGTTTCAGAAGTCATCACATGAGTCTTAAATTTTATGCAATTCATGTTTGGACCAATAACATGAGAGACTGCATGTTCATTTTCCTGGCAAGAAACCTAGGATTTTCTTTTCATGGTAGATCTGTTTTCAAAAGGGTAAAATTTAGAAGTTCTTGTTTCTGAATAGCATTTATGATTTAATTACCCAAAATTTCAACTTGGGACAAAAGAAAAGAAGTTGATGGATGTTTCAATCATATGCAATGTAATGCAGTCTTCATGCAGATGTGGTGTTCAAACAATTTATTATTATTATTGTTTTATCTCATCAAGGTGGAAAGACCATGAGTAACATTTAGGCAATTAGTTAAACAATCATAGAAAATGTTTAATAGGTGTGACTGTCCATGGACTTGAAACCTGTTGTGCTTCTTAAAATTGGAGTTCTAAATAAGTAGATGTGTTTGAATTCTAAGTTATTAATGTTGACAATTTTACTTCTCTTGCTATATTCCCTTTTTGCATTTTCTTCTGCATTTCTTGCTCATCATCATTTTTCTAGATTATGCGACGCCAGCTATTCAGCTAATTTTTATGAGTTCACTGAGCTCTCTTTTTTTTTTTTTTTTTTCCTTTTTTAGGTTGTGGAGAAGAACAAGGTTGATGCTGCTCGTTTCTCTCCTTTTTGGAATGAAATTGTCAAAAATCTAAGGGAGGAGGATTATATAACTAACTCGTGAGTGCACTTGATTTGATATATGTTAAATTTTCATTGTTTATCACTTTAGTTGAATATTTGCATAATCTTCAAGTTTTGTACTAATTGCTTGCTCAAACTCATTTTCCCCTTCCCGTCTTATTGTCCTTGCTTTCAGGGAGATGGATTTACTTTTAATGCCTAAAAACAAAGCGAATCTTCCCTTGGTTCAGTGGCCCCTGTTTCTTCTTGCTAGCAAGGTCATTCATCTCAAGCATATTATTATCTTCTCCTAAACTCATAATATTCTTTTAACTTTATGTTTTCAACTGTATACTTGGAACTTATTTCTATTTGTTTTTCCTATAGATATTTTTGGCTAAAGATATTGCTGCAGATGATAGAGTTTCACAAGATGAGCTCTGGGATAGGATTCAGAGGGATGAATACATGAAATATGCAGTTCAAGAGTGCTACTATATCCTCCAACTTGTACTGAAAGAAATACTGGTTGATGAAGGAAGGAAGTGGTAAGTTCTTATTATATATTGAATTTCTTTTGAAAAAATTTATGTGGCTGTTATGCAGTTGTTTTGTTATAAGTTATAATTATGCCCCTATATTGCAGGGTTGAGAAGATATATGAACACATTGAAAGAAGTATAGCAAACAAGAGAATCCATGATGACTTTCAGCTAAATAAGCTGACACAAGTTATTTCACGAGTTACTGCACTATTAGGAATTCTGGTTTGTTTTTTGTTATTTCCACTTGATTATGGAATGGAAATTCCTTTTTGCATAAGTTCTTATTTGATTTTCTGTTTTTATTCTGTGTTTTTTCCTTGTCTCTGTAGTTTTTCTAATCTCTGTTTGCCTGTTTTACTAACCCTCTTTACAATGTCTAAAATAGATATGCCTGTTAAGTCTTTTTCTTGGGTTTTCTTATTGCCAGGCAAATGAGAGACAATAATTTAAGTTGATGGGTGCAGTTGTTTTAATAGTCATGTGAAGATTTTAGCTACTAGTTTATATTGCCACAAGAGGAGGGAAACCAAGAAATGTTTAGAATGGAAGTCATTTCAGGATTTAATTTTAAACATTTAGTTTTGCATGCATATATTCCATATCACACATTTCCTTTGCTTTCTGCCTTTGAAATTTCTCCTAAAGGTGTTGAAATGCATTCTTACAGAAAGGGGCCGAAACACCAGAGCTTGAAAAAGGGGCAGTTAAGGCTGTTCAGGATCTCGATGATGTTATGCGGCTTGATGTCCTTCTTGTTGATAAAAGGTCCATTAAAAGTTGTTACTGTTTGCTTATATGCAGGAATATTTAATTATGCTTTCTCTCAAAGTACTTTGTTTTGCTCATGTTTCCTAGGGAACACTATGAAGCATGGAATTTTCTAGCAAAAGCTCGAACTGACGGTCGTCTTTTTGCCAAGTTGAACTGGCCCAGGGATCCTGAGCTGGTATGTCTGAAGTCAGCTTGCATATCTCAATCATCATCTTTATTTTTGGTTCCTCTTCTTCGTCTTTTCTGTATGATACTATGCTATTTTGAATGCCATGCAGAGAGCACTGATCAAGAGATTGCATTCACTATTAACCATCAAAGATTCAGCTTCAAATATTCCCAAAAATCTTGAAGCAAGACGTAGGCTGCAATTCTTCACAAATTCACTTTTCATGAATATGGCTCCAGCAAAACCTGTCCGTGAGATGTTGTCATTCAGGTCACAGCATTTGTGTGTATCAACTATTTTTCAGCATTAGCAGATGAATTGGTCATTCTCACTTCTTTTTCAATTTGTTTATGCAGTGTGTTCACTCCATACTACTCTGAGATAGTGCTGTATAGTCTGGATGAATTGTTGAAGAAGAATGAGGACGGAATATCTATTTTGTTTTACCTCCAGAAAATATATCCTGGTACTTTCCTTTATATTTTGCAAAGTTGCAAGCTGAAGACTATCCTAATTTTTATATTGCACTTTGTTGTCTAGATTTTCTTCAGTTTATTTGTGAGCAACTTATTCTCATTTCACTGAACACAATTTCAAGCTTTGATAGTATTTCTAAATATCTTTGCTTGGAGTGCCATTGAATGTTTGGCATGATGATCATCCTTGTTGATTTATGAGGTTGTTTCAAACTTCTCGTAGTAAATGAAATTAGAAAATGATGATGATTTCTGATTTTAGTTGGTATCGAGGGACATATACAGCCTAGCTTTCTCTTTTCTAAGGATTTGACATTTTGACTTATTCATTTGAGTAAAAGTTGTCACTCTGTTAGTGCCATTAAATGTGATAGAATAGTTTGCATTTTCTGTAGTCTGTGTGACTGATGCTTTTGAAGGAAACCTTATTACTTCATTTTCATGATTATGACATTAACATTTGAGTATTTATATCAGATGAGTGGAAAAACTTTCTTGCTCGAATTGGCCATGATGAAATTGTATCAGATTCAGATCTTTTTGAAAGTGCTAATGATGTGCTTGAACTTCGGTTTTGGGCATCATACAGAGCACAAACACTAGCAAGAACTGGTAAACATGATATATATATTTTTTTGTCCTATGATATTATGCTTGTGAGCTTTCATACGATTAGGAAAGTGTACTTGGATAAATGATTCATTTTACTTTGGATGGGAAATTACATATTTTGATAGCTGTTTTTATTGTCATCATTTTATAATGACAGACAGCCAGTGGAGGATTTGGTATTCAGAATATTCTTTGATTTCAACTAGTTCTTTTCCATGCATGTAAATTATGCTTGCTTTTCTCAATATTGATGTCCACCCTACTGACTGCATATTTTTTTCCTCTGGTGCAGTACGTGGTATGATGTATTATCGGAAAGCTCTTATGCTTCAAACTTATTTGGAGAGAATAAGTGCTGGAGGTAAGCTTATTCAACTATTTCATCATGGTTTTTATTTCTTACATTTTCAATCATATAACTGTGCATGGATATACAGATATGGAGGCTGCTATCTCTAGCAATGATGCAACTGAAACTAAAGGCTTTGAGTTGTCACCTGAAGCACGGGCACAAGCAGATCTCAAATTTACTTATGTTGTTACATGCCAAATATATGGAAGACAAAAGGAGGAGCAAAAGCCTGAAGCTGCAGATATTGCATTGCTTATGCAAAGGTTTTGTTTCATTTAATTTTATGTTCTTTTGATTACAATCATGGTTGGCATTTATTTTTCCTACTGATTTAGGCGTTCAAGTTTTTTCTATTTTCCTATACCACCTTTTGGTTGAAATGTTCATTTTTCCATGGTAAATGTGTTGCTAGGAATGAAGCTCTTCGTGTTGCTTTCATTGATGTTGTTGAGACTCTAAAGGATGGAAGAGTGCACACTGAATACTTTTCAAAGCTTGTAAAGGCTGATATCAATGGAAAGGATAAGGTTTGGACATTCTTTCTGATACTTAAAATGGCGACCTTTGTTCCATTTTTTTCTTAAGTGGTTATCCTGTCTTTTGATTTTATGATGATTTCTTTGAGATTGGGAGAAAAAGACCAATTTCATCATGTTTTTCTTTTCAAGTTTTTTGTGTAATCAGATGAAAAGTGTTTTTAATGACACAGTAAATATGCCTTGTCAAACAGTTTTAACATCAAATGTTTAATGGAGGGCTAGGAATGGCTTGCATCAGTATACACCTTATTAATTTGCTTTGTTTTTTTCTCTTTATAGGGCATTTGGTTTGGGGTAAATTTTCGTAGGAAAGTTGTTGGGCTAGGGAAGATTTGTTGGAAAGTTGGCAACTTTTGTGGGGAAGTTCCTATGTTTGGTGAAAAGTTGATATTGCACTTTCTTCAGAAAATTTGCCTAGTGTGTCCCAATGGGTGAAAGTTGGGTTTAAGTTTTACCTTCCAGAATGGGAGAAAGTATTCCCTCCTTGGTAAGTGCAATGAGGGGCAACTATGGGGCAAATGCACCAACTTTACCCCTTACTTATTTATAGTATTGGAGTGAGTAAATACCAAAACACCCTTGAATTTGGGAAGGTTAGGGGGGGAAGTTGGGACTTTCCCCAAACTAAACGCACCCTTTTGTACTTCTTTTGGTGCCAATAATTTTTTTTTCTTTTCAAATTGTCCTCTGTATTTTTTTTTTCCTTTTCTAATTGTACCTTGTATTAATGCATCTACACTAATCTGGCTAATTTATCTTTCTTGTTGATTGCATTTTATGGTCTGTTGCATGGAAGTTTTAGTTATTCAGTTTTTGAACTTTAACCTGTTAATTGAAAACTATGTCCTTGGTTGGATGAATTGGTCTTGATTCTTCTTTATTTGCAGGAAATTTATTCTATAAAATTGCCTGGAGACCCAAAACTTGGTGAAGGAAAACCTGAGAATCAAAACCATGCTATTATATTTACTCGGGGAAATGCAATTCAGACAATTGACATGAATCAGGTGACTTGTAGATTTTTACCCATTTGCCTAATTCTCTTGGGTCTAAAAGTTATATATCTAGCTCAATTTTTTCAAATTGGGAGGCACAACCATGGTAGAATAGCTTCTGTGGAGTTTGCTGTGAGTTAGGGATTGTTCAGAGTGTTTGGTTGTCATGCATTACGTATTGATGTTATATGGACGTCAAGAAAAATGTCAGTTGCTGCAGCCAATATGCAAATGTCTATTTATTCACCAATTTCAACAAGGCTTATAATTTTTGCATTCTGGTGTTAAATTTAAATTCGATTTTATTTAGGTTGGTCAAAGCTGAAATTTGCTAATGGTTGATAGATGCAGTGCTGCGTGTGCCCCCATAACCCACCCTCTTTTATATCCTCTAACAAGTGATATATATATATATATATATTTGCATGTTTCTTCTTAGCAACATATCTCATGTGTTATATAAATTTCTGATGCTTGTGAGTCTTGTGGCACCTCCATTTAGATATTCTGACAAGTCTTTGTGACTGGTTTGGCTGGTACTCAGTTCAACATGTGTCCATGTATGCAGTTGCCTGAAACATTCATTATTGCACATATACCTTAACTCAGTGACTTCTGTTCTAAAAAATTGCTACATGGAATTTGTGATTTGATTTTCATCTTTCATTTCAAGCATTTGTCTAACCTGTTGTGCTTCATGTTTGAGATGGATACTTTAATCTCCTTCCTATTTCTAGGTCTGCCATAGAAAATTTCGCTAATTTTTCTATTAATCCTTAGGATAATTATTTTGAGGAAGCTTTGAAGATGAGAAATCTTCTTGAGGAATTCAATTGTGATCATGGTATACGTCCTCCTACTATTCTTGGGGTTAGAGAACATGTATTTACTGGAAGGTAAACTTTTATTAGGTGCCTTGTACTTTCGGTGCTTTTTATATGGACTATGCTTCCATCGTTAACTAATGTAGCTTATATGATGAATTGCAGTGTCTCCTCATTAGCTTCTTTCATGTCTAACCAAGAAACCAGCTTTGTAACTCTAGGCCAGCGTGTTTTGGCAAATCCTCTCAAGTAGGTTTTTATCACATAAGTAAATGAAGTTTGTTCTTTGACCCTTGAGTTAATATATTAATTGAAGTTGATATGTTTATTGGTGTTCAGGGTTCGAATGCATTATGGTCATCCAGATGTTTTTGATAGAGTTTTTCATATAACAAGGGGTGGAATCAGCAAGGCCTCTCGTATTATCAACATCAGCGAAGATATTTATGCTGGTATGATTATTATACAGACAAAATATCAGTACAATAATTGCCTTTGAGATGTAGAATTACTTTTTAACTGTGAAGACAGTTATTTTGGTGTTCTTTACTGGCTGCATTCATTGAATTATCTAATACACAAAGGTGATTGATTGTTCTGTGTGATATATCACCATTGTATTTGTGAAAATTGGTTGGCTTCCTTCTTTTGCTTCTACTTCCCCATTTTAAGCTGTATTAGGATTTTTTATTTATTTATTTATTTTTTTATTTTTTATAAGTAATAGGTAAAATAAAGTTATGTTGCTGGATTTGAATGTACCACAATGTTAATGACTTAATTCTGAGGTGGGGTGAACTGCTGGTTATTTTCTAATCTACAAAATCTTGCTGGTTTAACAGGATTCAATTCAACTTTACGACAAGGAAATATCACTCATCATGAATATATTCAAGTATGAGTTCTCTTTTTTTTTTCTTTCTTTGCCCTTTGGCAAATTGCATGCCTACAGATTGCTAGTGGTATTTTTTTTTTTTTTTTTTTCTCTGATCGAATTTTCAGGTCGGCAAAGGTAGAGATGTTGGCCTGAATCAGATTGCCATATTTGAGGGGAAGGTAGCTGGTGGTAATGGTGAACAGGTTCTTAGTCGAGATGTATACAGGCTTGGGCAGCTCTTTGATTTCTTTCGAATGATGTCATTCTACTTTACCACAGTGGGGTACTATTTCTGTACATTGGTATGTAATTATTAAATATCTGTATCGATATGTTGATTATTGCTATCCATTCTAATTAGATAAGGAAATGAATAGAAATTATATATAATCCAGGATTTGCAGATGTATATGGTGTGTGTCGGCTATTCAATTTTTTCTTCTGTTTTGCGTTTGTGCTTATGATGCTAAGCTGGTTTGCTGCTAAGATCCTAGGCATATTTATGGTGTTTGTGTACATGTTGTTTTGAAGAAATTGTACATCATCAATTATCAGATAACTCTTTATGTTATATATCAGAGGTTTTGTATTACTAATTTTCTGTTTTTACCACTTCATGCTCTAAGGTTCTTTTCCATGGTCTTTAAAATTTTCAAATTCATACATGAGTTTCCTAAGAGTCTCACACCGATGATATTGAAGCTGCATGATGTATTCATAGCATGAAAACTTGTGTGTATTTTTCTTTTTGTTATTTGATCAAAATTTGATATTCCTATTTGTGCAGCTAACAGTGTTGACAGTGTACTTTTTCCTTTATGGAAAGGCATATTTGGTAAGTTAGCTTTTCTTTTAATATCATCATGGTAAATGTCTTCCATCCATGGGTCTAGAGATTTGAATCAGGGTCAACTTATGTAAATGTTCTTCATAATCTTTAAGCATACCCAATGTGTTTAATTTATACCCAGAAAAAAAGAGAAGGGAGAGAAGAATACCCAATGTGAGATTTGAGGTGTGACCATGAATGTGCAAAAAAAGTAATTATTTTATTGTCTTTTAATACTGTAGTTGTACATTATTTTTAATTGCTTTGCAGTTAAACTAGCACATTTAGTAGAAATTGTTCTGGTATTAGGCTCTTACAGGTCTCCAAATTTCTACTTCCTCAAGTATTCTTTACGCTCTTGCGTCCATTTGAATTCATGTTCTCTCATGCAGTTTTGGGATAGTCTTTATTTAATTATTTATTTCAAGGATTAAAGCAAATTTTGGTGTCAGGCACTATCAGGAATTGATGAAACATTAAAGGTGAGAGCTGAGATATTGCAAAACACTGCACTGACTGCTGCTCTAAATACACAGTTTCTCTTTCAAATTGGTATTTTTAGTGCTGTGCCAATGATACTGGGCTTCATCCTGGAACTGGGTTTCCTAAAGGTAATTGATTGTCCCGCATTTTAGTTTTTTATGTAGTTTATCAATGGTTGTGATGAAATGAAGTGCTAGAAGGTCAATAAATCATGTTTTGGATTTTTTGCATTATTTGCTTAGTCCTTTTTTCGGCCAACTATTATCTGCTTAGCTTGCTCTTCATTCTTTATGGTTATATTCATAATTTTTTGGGGTACCTTTCTTCTTGTGAGATGCCTGGTTTGCAGAGATTAATATTCTATTGATTATCTTGACTCCTTGGTAGCATGTTTTTATACATGAAATATTCCTTTTATTATTTTTTTATCATGTGGCTTTAAAGCATTTCTATTCCTGTTATTCTTTTAGTAATAATCTTTTTAATTCTTCAGGCTGTTGTGGGTTTCGTCACGATGCAGCTGCAGCTTTGTACTGTTTTTTTCACATTTTCACTGGGTACAAAAACCCATTATTTTGGTCGGACAATCCTTCATGGCGGTGCTAGGGTATGTCTTAATGTACTTCTGTACGTTTCTTCCAGGCATGGAATAAAGTCTAATTCATGTTTTTGACAGTACCAAGCTACTGGTAGGGGTTTTGTTGTTCGGCATATTAAATTTTCTGAGAATTACAGACTATACTCCCGCAGCCATTTTGTCAAAGGGTGTGACTCTCTCTCTCTCTCTGTGTTGTGGGTGTGTGTGATTAGTCAATTATTAACTTATTCTTTTGTACAGACTCGAAGTTGTTCTCTTATTGGTGGTATACGTTGCATATGGATATACAGAGGGTGCAATATCCTACATTCTTCTTTCTATCAGCAGTTGGTTTATGGCTCTTTCCTGGCTTTTTGCTCCATATTTATTCAATCCATCTGGCTTTGAGTGGCAAAAGTAAGCATTCTCTTTTGTTTTCTCATAATTGGTTTCTGCCCAAATTGTACTGCCTTCTTGAGTAATCTCTTTTGCTATTTTACAGGACTGTGGAGGACTTCAGAGATTGGACAAATTGGTTACTTTACCGAGGAGGAATTGGAGTTAAGGGACAAGAAAGCTGGGAAGCTTGGTGGGAAGAAGAACTGGTATTACTTAATTACTTCTCGAATGAAACTATTGGCAGATGCATAATGTTACCCTTATAATGTTACCCTTATAATGCTTGACAAAGGTGCTGTTGTTTCAGAACACAATAATATGCACTAGTTCTTGTTTGCTTAAAGCTTTTGGTTTGATATTATATTAAATTGTTTAGTCTTTTAAAATATTGGTAGTCCATATTAATCCTAATACTGTGGTTTAATGACCCAGTCAATTAACTGCTTTCTTTTTTTCTTCTTTTTTTTTTTCTTTTTTATTTCGGCCCAAACAAAAGGCATTTAATTGCTAGCAAATGAAAAAATTAGGTCGGTATTTAAGATTTTGTATATTTTTGGATAGTTTTGTAGATACAATAATACCTAGTTGCTAGATTGCATGCCACATATGCTCTCCAACACATTGTTTTGAGCCATTTTTTATTAATCACTGTCATCTACAATAAAATAAAATAACTGCCGTCAATTAAATTTTTCTTGCTCCATTTTAATGGTCCTAAAATGTTGCATCAACAGGCACACATCCGGACTCTAGAAGGAAGGATAATGGAGACAATTTTAAGTCTAAGGTTTTTTATATTCCAATATGGCATTGTCTACAAGTTACATGTACAAAGGAACAGTACGTCTTTGACGGTAACAACTTTACCTACTAGTTTACCTGTGCTTAAGAAAACTTGGTTTTGATATGAAATTTTTTATTTTTCCTTCTCAAAATATTATTTCTAGCTTATAATGATGAAAGAAACGGGAGAAAAAGGTAGAAAATATGCTGTCTGTATTTCTTTCCAAGAGTGGAACAAGGTTGTGTGGATGATATTTCTTGTGCTGCAGAAATCATAAATTTGTGGATTGGGGTTTGGATGGTTTTGGATCAAATATTCAGAGTGAAAGATTTTTTCCTTTATTTTTTTTTTTTTCAAAAGTCATGTTGACTTTTTTCTAAAGAACAGTATCACTTTGGGAAACAAATCGTCCATCTCTTTTTATTCTTCTGCTTGTTTTTTCAGCTGAAGCTAAGTGGTTGAGTTAATCTGTTTACCACCTTGGTTGTGCCATTGGTCTAGAAGATCTTCCTGACAATTTTTTATTGATTTACTTTATTCATCCTTATTTTGCTGTTCATAATGGTAGATTCCCCAATTCTTCTAATGAGTCTTTTTGGTTTTGAGCTACCTTTATATTAAGTGAATGAAATATTAAGAAAGGAGCCATGATTCAAACAATAGAGAGATCTGATTGCTGTTGCGTCTTTTGTGTGTGCTTTTCCATAGGTATATGGCTTTTCATGGATAGTGTTTGCCGTGCTTATAGTCCTTTTCAAGGTATGCAATGTAGCATTCAGAGACAAATCTTGGCTCCTTATTGTTTAGTTCATGACCTTAACCATTCTTTCAATCTGTGGGATGACAGGTATTCACTTTCAGCCAGAAGATTTCAGTTAATTTTCAGCTTCTTCTGCGGTTCATCCAAGGCCTCTCCTTTTTGTTGGTGCTGGCTGGTCTGGCCATAGCTGTCATAGTTTCAAGTTTGTCTATAACAGACATATTTGCTTGCATTCTAGCCTTCGTACCCACTGGTTGGGGAATTATTTGTGTGAGTTACTCCGATAACCTCTGCATATGTTCTGTAATTTTGACCACCCACAATACCCTAATTTCTCTTGCTGATTAAAAACAAAAAAAATGTAATCTGAATTCTATGTTTCCGCTTAACTACATCCTTTGCCACATTATTTTGACATTGAAAATTTTCAACTAATTTCAGATTGCTGCTGCTTGGAGGCCTCTGGTGAAGAAACTGGGACTGTGGAAGTCAATTCGTTCCTTAGCCCGTTTATACGATGCTGGGATGGGAATGCTGGTATTTATTCCAGTTGCATTTTTATCATGGTTCCCATTTGTTTCAACCTTCCAGACAAGGCTCATGTTCAACCAAGCCTTTAGCAGAGGATTGGAAATCTCCCTCATCCTTGCAGGAAACAATCCAAACACCGGACTATGATCACAATACCGACCCTTTTAGGTATCATTGTACATTATTGTCTTCTATTTTGAAAATTATTTGTGGGCAGCGGTGAATCTCTTCGAATGCAAACTCACCAAAGATGCTTTTACACGCTTATTTACCTTGGTGTTGAAATCCGAGTTAGTTTGTTTATAGGATGGTATATTTTTCTTGGAGGTTCGTTTGCAAAGTTAAACATATGTTGACAAGCCAAGGTATTTTACTTTTTGCAAAGTTTGAATATATACCCTCGAAATTTCTTTATATCTTGATTCTTTTGATTCCGCGGCTATCAATTATTCTCTATGCTGTGAGCTGGATGAGATTCCTTATTTTAGGCACTACCTAAAAGAGCATGACCCCATCTTAACATATTCGTCCTTTGTAAAGCTTGGGGAAGCATATTT